TGGATTTTCTCGCCGGCAATAATTACCGGTATATATTATCCATATTTAACTAAGAGAAACTGTAGCGTAACAGTTTTTTTAATTCATTAAGCGGTCAAAGAATATATACTTTGCAATATTGTTATTATACGTTTGCGTAAAGTTCTTCAGTTCACGGTATTCTAATATAACTAATTTCAAAAATGATGAGGCTCCCACATATTTTTGACTTGCTGCATGCGGCTCTTATACTAAAAAATTTCGCCCACCCCTGCACTACAACGATAAACAGGGGGGCAATGAGTGCTAAAGACTTTTGAAATGAAGCCACGAGTCCTAAAGCTTAGGAACCACTGCACTAAATAATCATTTTGATTTCTTAGTAATAGTAAACAAAGTAGAAAAAATGTACTTACTTTTGTCTGAAGGTTTCGGTGAGTGAGATTTCCTATATAAAAAAAAGAGGATATTTATTTTACTTGTCATTTGGAATAAAAATAGTATGTAGAGTATGAGAACAAACAAAATAAATATTAAAGTAAATTTGCCTTATCAAACAAGAAACCAATGCTCAAATGCCCAAATATATGGACATCGTTAGCAGTAAAGCAGTGTTCACTATTAGCGCACCTTTTTTGCGAAAATTCAAAGCACTTTCACACTTCTTTTCAGGGACTGCGAAATCACTTTTTTCGATTTTGAAGGGCAAAAACTCAAAGTTAACAAACATTTTCGTGTGAGTATGAAGTTGACAAAAAAGTTGCGTACTAGTACTTTTGTAACCCAATTTTTCATTACAAAAAAAATTTGCTGTAATTTTAACCTATGTGGTGCAGACATGGGAGATGAAGCTTTTGCATTAACAGCAAAATTCTTGTTTATGATATGATTAACATACAAGCGCACGGATTCCACTTCTCCCGCAAAAACGCTCTGCGGCGTCCTCAAAACCAGACGTTGGAATACTAGGCAGTGAGTTTCTTTTAACATGAGTGAACAGATTTGCAAAATCACCAAATTCACAGTAATCAGTATTTTATTTTATCCACCATACATGAAATATTGTAAACTAATGAATACAGAATGTGTAAAAGGAGGATAAACTGACAAGTCGAGGTGAAAAGGAATCTGGGCGAGTATAATAATTTTCAGTTTTTTCGGGGTCGGCTTATTATTCAATTCCGACCATAAAATACCTTGGGCGATAGCATCCCCATAACGTCCCGATCAAGTCAGTTGAAATAAATCGGCGTTTTCGCGCTGTGAATCTGGAATTTCAACGCTGTGTTTATCATATTTGAAGTTGCCGCATTTGTGTGTGCATCATGAGTGAAGGTCATACTCATAGATGATTGATACATTAGACATTGCAAACATTTTGTGTTCTACAACTACCGACAGGGCTTGACACGGATATGATATATGTATAATAATTAATGTAAAGTATATTTAATTCAATTTTTGAAATAAATTTTACTCTGTGGGATATTATCGCTGACTTAAAAGTTTTTCCTTATGGTAATATCTTTAAAATGATGAGTGGCAGGCTGGCAGCATTGCGATGAAGCGGAATAAGTGTTGCAATCACAGTTCAGATATGTTTTCAATTTGCAAAAATATGAATCAAAACAACATATAATCGTACATGTTTATGTCCACGGATTGCCTTGGTGTTTTGGAGCAGTGATACTTTATATATAGTCGCAATCGCAGATTAAATAAATTAATGAAGCAATACATTTCGCTTTGTGGAGATTTCGAGGTGATAAAGACGTATGTTTGATACTTTATCTGTATATTTATTGTCCTTAATTAAATTGTACTTTTCCGGACTTTATGACAGATCTTGGGATTTTCATATCTCACATTGTTATGTCCGCAGATTGCCATGTTATTTTAGATCAGCAATGCCTTTATTTGGTGGATGCAATTGGGAGTTATCTTGAGCACAATCAGATTAAAATTAAAAGACAGTTGGAATTCCCGCAGCTGTCATGAATTGAAGATTACCCTACCAAAAAACGATATTACGGGCTATTTTAATGAATGCGCAAACGCAGCAACTGCTCAGAAGCTGTTGCATGGTAATTTGAAATTCGGATTTTGATGCAATCTTATTGTGAGGTTATATGCAAAAACCCATTTTTCAGGCCTAAAAACGGACCTCGGCTTATTTGCCAGGTAGACTTTTTCGACAGAAATATGGTATTTTATTTTTGTACTCGCACGATATTGTCAAAACTGAAGAAGTCGCCAATAACGCGTGCAATTGCCTTCTTCTAAAATTACGGATTGTTTTCATCAGCGTGTTATTTAGGCCGTAAAAGCCTATTCATTGGTAATCATAAATTTAAGACCAAGATAAAAACGAGAAATATCCGTCAGAGACGAAACTTATGATCGAAAGTTAGGGGATCCCCAAAACAGAAACTGCAGTTTCGATTCGAAAATGAGAACTCCAAGCTGGATACAAAATGGGTGTATATGAAGAATCTCCATATAATAATCAGAAGTGTATTTCTGTAAGATGGGTTTGCACAATGAAACAAAATGTGATAAAATGTTCCCAAAGGCTAGACTTGTTGCTCATGGTTTTGAAGAGAGTAATTTGGAAATATTAAAAAAGAATCACCAACCCAACATGTTGTAAAGATTCAATGCGAACCGTCATAGCTATTGTGCAACAAAAATGATGGCAATTAAAATGTATTTACGTCAAAACCTCATTTCTACAAGAGGTGGAGCTAAGCGAAATGTTTATCTTATGCCACCCAAAGAAGCAAATTGTAAAGAGGAAAATTGTGTGAAAATTGAAAAAAGTGTATATGGACTGACTGATTGCTTCACTGAAATGGTATGACAGAGTTGAATTTTATTTAGAAATTGGAATGCAAGACTACTCTTGCAGAATCCTGCAGTTTGTTTATGCTGCAGATCCTGCAGTTTTTTATTGGCATAATGACATTAATTTGGAAGGAATTTTCACTGTACATGTTGATGACTTCATGTGGTCTGGCAGTCAAACATTTGAAAGGAAGATTATCACGAAATTACGAGAAACATTCAAAGTGGGAAATGAAGAAACATCGTGTTTCAACTTTTCAAGTATGTGGGTCTTCTAATCAGCGAACATAAAGATAGAGTCTCATTAAATCAAAATGAATACATTTCATCCTTGAATCCTATTCATTTGTCTCGCTTTGCAAGACTAACTCATCTTGAAAGCAAAGTCCATCAGTCTAAAATAGGTCAACTGTTGTGGATTAGTACTCAAGCACGACCTGATATCTTACTTGATACTTGTGTATTGGCCACAAATTTAAAGTCTACAACTGTGGAAGATCTCCTCAGAGTTAACAAAGTGATTAGGAAACTAAAATCAAATTCAGTAGATTTAAACTTCTGTAAAGGATTGATGTAAAGGATCTTCTTCTCCGGATTAAAAGAGTTGTTAAAATTTCTTTGGCTGCAGAAACACTTGCTATGTCAGCTGGCGTAGATAAGGCAAGCTTTGTTAGCTCATTGTATAAAACTGTATAAAGAAATCATGCATGGAGTTATAGATCTTGAAAAACTGGCCATCAAAATTGCAACTGATAATCGCTCTCTTCACATGTTATAAAGTTTACCAAGCAAGTGCAAGATAGACGACTGAGAATAAAGTAGCAATGTTGAAAGAGATGCTGTCCAACAAGAGATTACCAGAATCCGATGCTGTAACAGCTTGCAGATAACTTGACTAAAAAAGGGTCATCATCGTCAAGTTTGCTGAACATTATACAATGCAATAAAATTAATTACTTTTAATATTAAATAATGGGGAGTTTGTGAATGTTTTGATCTGATTACTTTACCAGACACTTGTAATCAGAGTGCCATTACTTGTTGTTACTTGATAATTATTACTTGTTTACATGTTTGTGTGAGGGTACAGCTTTGGTGATGATGCAATATAGTTTGTATCAGGCCTGATGAAGGACCTGTATATGTGTATATATATGCCATTGGGGCAAATAAACTTTTCAAAGAGATTACTAATTCGCTTCACAAATATCGCATCCCTGGGTCAGTAATGATAATATCGTTCGCTTAAAATTAGGATCGTAATTTACAAACTGTGATACAAGTCCTACACAAAAGATGAGAATCAGATGAATATGCAGATAACTGCACACACGTATACAAAAAATTCCACGGCTGTCAACAAGGATTTGTTGGCACATTATTATTAACATCGACACAAATCGCGATTGACTGCTTGAGACGTCGCGATCAACGTGTTGTCCACCCCTGATATAAACCATTATGACGCTGCTGACATCTGCGAGTTATAGTTCTCTCTAAAATTAATTTTCGCGATTTTAATGTTTTATTTCTAAATGCAGGTAACTGCTGACTACGATTTAATTGAAATATTTGCCACAAACACCGTCAGGCAAAAAGTGGCGGGCTCTGTGCAATTTCGCTGTGAACGACCATTCACTTTAGTTTATTAAACGGATTCATCGCCGTGAATTGCAATTTTGGTGCAATGTTTTAATTTTACCGACGTGTCACAAACTGGGTCATTTTCAGATCAGAGTTCAATCACTTATTTCATTCAAATCAACTATTCTGAATGATGGTTTACTCTGAATTTCTTTCATTATGACAATAGAATTACGGCTTCCTCCACCCTCAAGTCTATGCTTCTGAAAAAACTAATAACTACCTTATCCCATACCCGACATGGAATAGTAACCGGACGGGAGGCAGTGGGTTGCCATGAGGTTATTAAGCTACCTTAACAACTTTCCTCTCCTCCAAGATAAAATGCCAATCCTATCATACGACTTAACGGTCAAAAATAACCTTACTAATGTATAATCAATACTTTGTAGAACCTAAGAACATACCCAAGTATATTGTCTTCGCCAGGTTTGTTTTTATTTGAAGGTGGAATAACTGAAATAAAAAAAAGAATGCTAATATATGCAAATTCAGGTTGTTAATAAAAGAGTTAATTCGTGAAGTTAGCGGATTTTATTTTAAACATAAGGCAATTTAATTTTTAGCCAAGTAGAATATAAAATCTAAAACTGGTTACAATATTTCTAGCATACTAAGAAGTGGAGAAAGTAGTAAGACACTAATATATCATCAAATCCAATGCAGCGGCAATTTCAAAACCCAGGGTATAGGAAATTGTGTAGGCAAGCAGTGAAGAGAAATTTTTTTTTTTTTAAATAGTACCACCTTATCAGTGGATGCTTGTCTGGGGCCCTGTTCAGAGCAAAAAGAGTAAACACAGAATGAAAAAAATAATACACGATTTTGTAAGCATGGAGGGCTGATTTTACACGTGCTTGCACAATACTTGTGAGTTGTTCCACTAGCAAAGTATTTTGCCTTGCTATCGAAAATACTTACTTTTTGAATTAACCTGAGTTTTTTTGAAAAAGCTGGAGGATGGTGTAAGAGGAGTGAATTGATCTCTTTTCTTCACACAATACGAGTCGGAAGATCTTCTGGAATCTTCCGACTCGCTGTGGATGATGTCAACATCTGAATGAAATGCATAAATATTAGCATCAATTAATTGATATACATTCAAATTTTTGGTACAGAATTGGGTGCAGGTGTCAAAGTCAAAAGTTTGAATCTTCCAAGAGTCTGGAGTTGCAATTCAAAACTCATATTTTTGATGAAAGAATCTCAAATAGCTTTATGTTGAGCATTCTCAATAGTCAAATAAAAAGGCTTGTATATGCCAGAGTTTGTGTTTTTATAGACTGGAGTCAAAATTGCCTTCAACTTGCAGTCATTTTCAAATTTTGATTAAGAGGTGAAAGTAGAGTCAATTTTCTCGTCTGACTAACTAACCTCTTAATCGTTTAATTCCTCCAGCTTTCGTATTAATATTGATCTTGGTGACGGATACCTGTGGAGCAAAAGATAACAAGCAGAATGAAATACAAATCATTGTAAAATGGTAAACAAGGGTGATTACTGCAAAGTAGTTTTAATTACCATTAGATAATAATAAGGACCATATAATTTTCACCACCCAAGCGTTAAATATTTCTGCTTTCTCGAAACCTGCAATGTGTGTTCCTAAATTTTTAATCTGAATACTTTTTCAATCTTAAATTTTCTTTTAAACTCAAATAATCGAATTGAATAAATTCCTGTGCCAACATAAGCAAAATATTAAATGTTCCTTCCTCTCGGTACCCATGAGTCACGTATTGTAAACATTTTTACAAACCATATTAGTTACGAATTTTTATGTAATAATGAAACATCTATCTTTTTTGGTGAATCAATGGAAAAATATGCGAACTTGAACCATATTTGGGTTTTCGCTTGACGACATCGGTTTTGGTAAATTATTTAAAAATCATTTGACCCTGAAAGTTAAATATTCACATGTTCACTATTAGCACACTTTTTTGCGAAAAGGGGGAAGCACTTTCGCAACTTTTTTTAGGGACTGCGAAATAGCACTTTTTTTCGATTTTAAAGGACAAAAATTCAAAGTTGACAATTAGTTTTGTGTGAGTGCAAATAAGTTGCGTACTAGTAGTACTTTTGTAACCCAATTTTGCATTACATAATGATATTTGCTGGAATTCTAATCTATGTGGTACATACATTTGAGATAAAGCTTTTGCAATAACGGCAAAATTCTTGTTTATAATATGATTATTATACAAGCACACCGATTTCGCTTCTCCCACAAAAAAAGTTGGCGGCGTCTTTGAAACCAGATGTCCGAATACAACGCAATGCGTTTCTTCAAACGAGAGTGGTCATGTGACTGTCAATGACATCGATGAATTGTGACCAAAGTACTCGATTTTCTAGCGCAAGTTTGACGGGATTTGGTCCTTCCGTAGTGAATTTATTTATTGGAGCAATTCAGAAAGTTCTGATACCCGATACATTTTTTTGTAACGAATGTAAACCTAGGCCATTATTTTTTGAATTAAGAAGAAACTTTTAGCAGCATCTCACAGATTTGCGAAATCACCAAATAGCACGTGCACGTGCCATTTTGCGATATTTAATATTATCTATTCATTCTTGATAAATCAAACCTAGACCAGAGTCAAAAATTAAATGCAACTATTTCTCACTGATATGCCAGGTTATGATATTATTGCCAAGAATATTTGTGAGTATATCACTGGACAGAAATATTTTGCACCCCTGCTGTTTGCAGAACAACAATTCGCTAAAGTTGATTGATCGAATACACGGGAAGCATTTATTTATCATCTCACTGGCCAACATGTGGCAGAATTGTACGATCATGTTGTCCTCTCTAAATAATAACTTTTTTATTGAATGTTTATATTTTACATCTGTGTATTAATTATATGTTCTTGTTGGGTTTTCATTTCATTCATTCAACGTCGGTTTACAGACATCTAATGTATAACTCTCGCAACCAAATAAATTTTTGTTTTGTATGCAACCACCTGGATGGTGCACCAAAAACCGAATTTGATTTTATTGAAATTGGAACACACAAATACAGAATTTTACATTTCATACACAACTAACCGATGCCAAATGCAGGCGCTCAGCTAGGATTTTTCCAACAGGGGTCTTACGGTAAAATTAAATACCGGTAAGTGCTTTAATCGTACAATTTACAACGACTTAAGACGTCTGTTAAATAAATTCCAGCAGAGTTTCGTGTAGCTCGCCCCCCCTCTGTAGTCGTTTGGTGAATATTTGGTATGTGTATTTCAAGAATATACCTGCTTAATCTTTCTATTGCCATTCTATGAGTATTTACCTACACATGATTAGAGACGGGCAAAATCGGATTTTTTCTAATGGAGAAATCATTTCAAGAAAAAAGTAAAACTCGTAAGTATCAATGGTGTTACAATTGTTTATATGCACAAAAACATCGATTGAATGTGCATGAAATGTGCGAAACTATTACTCGTGGTAATTCAATGTTAATCTTTTTATTGCCATTCTATGAGTATTTACCTATATGTGATTAGAGACGGACAAAATCAGATTTTTTCTAATGGAATAATTTGAATATTTTTTTTTTAATAGAAACTTACTAAAGACTGAAAACTCTGTAACAAGGCGGAGTTTTAACTGTCTAATTTTGTCACAATCGCGGATTATTTTTTGTCATCGTGACCGTTTCAGTGGCCGACAACTTAATTATTGTTGCACTATATTTTAAAGCACTTTTATCACAATAATTCTCACGCAGCGGCGGACATTGAATTTTTTTTATATTTTAAGCCGAACTATGAGTTCACATCGGCGAGAATATTAAAGACACTATTAAGTAGTGAATTCATAAACATTTTATTTTTATTTCGATCTCATCATCTGGTTCGATAACAGTTTGTAAATTACGGTCCGAGTTTTTAGCGAACAATAATATCATTACTGACCCTGTGATGAAAATATTTATAAAGCTAACAATAGCTGACTTTTTATGATTTTAATTTCTATCGTTTGTGTGGTATTTTCGTATTAAATCATAAATAATAAATAAAACACTTTGCAAAATCGCCATTGCATGAATACTCAGTGTTGCTTTGAATCAAATATACTGATTAAATAAATCGGCAATGATAGCAATTCTACATGGTCAAAATAATATTCCCGCCTGAACTCTCTGGAAATTTCCATAGAATACATTATTTACCTGTCTTACATTATCTGGTTTGACGTTTCTAAACGTAAAAACGGCTTTGAAGCTCTTGAACTGATATGCTAGGCGCAGAAAAAAAAATCACCACAACTGAAAGATTTCTCATATTTATCGTTTCCGTCTGTTAGCGACAGTCGTAGGTGAATTCTTCCTCGTAACTCTTACTTCGAAATTAATGTTAATAAATTTGATCTTGCTTTTTAATGCGCCGTGATTTGAATTAATGAAAATAATTGTGTAGGGAGTTTGAAGAGAAGGTCTTAAATTAGCTTATAACAGTCCTTTTATGACTATTATTGAATTATAAAGTAGGTCAACCTATGGCTCAAAATAGCGGGATGCCGAATTTCATAGCGAATTCGTGTGATCTTTCAAAAAATAAAATAGGATGAATAAACATGACATCAATCCATATCGGTGACCGGGGATGTTATTTAGCACATGCTTTGTACAAATGACCACCTCTCTGACTATGGCCGGTTAAACTAATATCGATTGCTGTGTGTATTAATCGCTGCGAGGCATTGCTGTTCAGGGAAAGGAGTACCGTTCGCAACTGACACGGTTGGTTGATTGCACAAAGTTTTGTTCACGACATGTGAGCTTAGCAGGTGTCCTTTGTTACCGATGAATTCGCTTGTTTTAAACAAGGGTTTAAACCAGTGGTTCTTAAACTTTTTGAGCCGCGCCCCCCTTTGAAAATATTTACAAACTTCGCGCCTCCCCTATTTTTGCTTTGAAAAAATGCTTTTGTGATGGGCAGGTTGCTATTTAATAAGATGGCGCTATAAGAGTGTTGGTCTCATATCGTCATTGCTCAGATTGTTTAGGCATAAAACGCTTCGGAGTACAACTTTGCCATTCACTGTCGTATGTATAAAGCCAAATAATGGTTGGTCATCATACATTCTCGTTTTTCCCCTCAGTTTGTAATACCTGGTAAAGTAAAACTAATTTTTAAGTAAAACTAAACACGCAATGAACCTATGCTTTAATGTATTTTCTGCTTAAACGTTTACATAAGAACTTAAAATTTCAATCAATTGTTTACTTCATCACTATTGAGCGATGCCAAAATTATTTACTGTGTGTTAAAAATAAGCAACGATTACAGACTTCTTGGCTTGCCTAACGTTTCAAACAAAATGGAGAAGTACAAATGAATTTATGTAAATTTAAAAGCAGTTCATTAGTTATTATGAATGTGGACGTTTCCTCGGCCCTTGACCACTGAAAAATAAAGTCGCTAAGGCGTTTGCTATTGCATTTTGTTTAGATCTCGATTGTTTTCGTAAGCGTGGCCTGCTATGCCGTAAAAATCTTGATTTTGGTGTTTATTCTCCCTAAATCAGAAATTTCCCTCGACATATTCTTGTGTCGCGAAGACGATTATATTTACTTTTTTATTTTCGAATAGAACCATGACACCTCTGAGGAAAACGAGTTAGTTTTTATTATATAATCATCAGCGACGAGATGCTAAAGATAGAATAAAGTAGTGAATCTGCAACCAAATATTTCTTTATTGTAAAAGCGAGATTATAAAATACTAAAAATAAAACGGAAAACACCATGAGTTTTGTTTTGGGGTGGACCGCGAAAGATTAAAAACACTTTCTTAGACATTGCAAATCTCATGAATTCCTTGTGCCTGCGGCACACCAGTAGTGTTCTAAAACTACCGACTTGAAATAAATTTTACTCCGTGGGATTTTATCGCAGACTAAGGAATTAATCGAGCATTGCGATAGAGCGGAGTAAGAGTTGCAGGGACAGCACATAATGGTGAAATTGCCAAGAATACAAATCAAAACAAAATGTAATCGGGCACTTTGCCACACATTTTTATGGTTGCGGATTACCGTGGTATTTTGGAGTAGTGGTGCTTTTATTTTATCGACGCAATCGCAGATTTAATTTATCACAATCAAATGAATAAAGCAACAATTTTAAATGAATATTTTATTCAACACGAAAACCATTACATATCCGTTGACAAAGTCGGCTCTTATAACGACTGGTGTAATGTCGAGGACAGACTCAGGATTCGTACCGCGGGGATTTCGAGTCGATGAATATGTATTTTAATTGTACTAAATTAAGTATACTTTCTGGGATATTATACCAGATTTTTCTAATGAAGTTAACGAATTCGCATGAGTGCAATATATATCAAAACGAAATATAATCGGGCAGTTGATCACACTTTGATATGTCCGCGGATTGGCGTGGTATTTTAGATCGGTAATGAGTTTATTTTGACATGAGTCGCCGCAACCGCGAGTTACCTTGAACACAAATGAATTAAAATAGAGAGACATTTTGAATTTTTTTAGTTATTACGAGACAGAAAAATTATTATACCACGAAAAAGCCGGTATTTTTAACGAACGCGGAGACCGTTTCAGGAGCCGTTACATGTAAATTTCCGATTCCATCTTGTGACCTCTCGCGCCTCCCTAGGGGGGCGCGCCCTCCAGTTTAAGAACCACTGGTTTAAACAAAACTCGGTTAACAGGAAGGCACCTTTTTAATTCGTAATATTAACCGAAGAAGCGCTTTTTTGAGTATCTACTCCGTTTGAAAAGAATTTGAGCAGAAACTAGGGCACCTAACTTGTTGAAATCGGCAAAAGCACTTTCGCACTTTTTTAGTTAACACTGATGTGGATATTTTACGAACTTTAAATAAAAATTTCACCTGTAGTTTTGATACCTGTAGTTGTGGCGGTGTGGCTCATGTTGCTAAGCGTTAGGAATATGCTTGCCACCGCACCTCTGATAACTCTGCATGGATTCGGAGGTTCGGATCCCATGAAGGGATAGTTATGTGTGAGAGGATTGCTAGACCTTTGCCGCCATAGGGTGGTTCACGTAACCGGTGGTCGGTTACGACTTCCTCCGCCATCAAGTCCATGCTTCTGAAATAACAAATAACTAACTTATCCCATACCCGACATGGAATGGTAACCGGACGGGAGACCGTGGGTTCCGATTAGGTTATTAAGCTTCCTTATCAGCTTTCCTCTCCTCCGAGATAAAATGTCAATCCTATCATATGACCTAACGGTCAAAAATATCCTTACTAATGTATAATCAATACTTTGTAGAACCTAAGAACATACCCAAGTATATTGTCTTCGCCAGGTTTGTTTTTATTTGAAGGTGGAATAACTGGAATAAAAAAAAAGAATGCTAATATATGCAAATTCAGGTTGTTAATAAAAGAGTTAATTCGTAAAGTTAGCAGATTTTATTTTAAACATAAGGCAATTTAATTTTTAGCCAAGTAGAATATAAAATCTAAAACTGGTTACAATATTTCTAGCATACTAAGAAGTGGAGAAAGTAGTAAGACACTAATATATCATCAAATCCAATGCAGCGGCAATTTCAAAACCCAGGGTATAGGAAATTGTGTAGGCAAGCAGTGAAGAGAATTTTTTTTTTTTTAAATAGTACCACCTTATCAGTGGATGCTTGTCTGGGGCCCTGTTCAGAGCAAAAAGAGTAAACACAGAATGAAAAAAATAATACACGATTTTGTAAGCATGGAGGGCTGATTTTACACGTGCTTGCACAATACTTGTGAGTTGTTCCACTAGCAAAGTATTTTGCCTTGCTATTGAAAATACTTACTTTTTGAATTAACCTGAGTTTTTGAAAAAGCTGGAGGATGGTGTAAGAGGAGTGAATTGATCTCTTTTCTTCACACAATACGAGTCGGAAGATCTTCTGGAATCTTCCGACTCGCTGTGGATGATGTCAACATCTGAATGAAATGCATAAATATTAGCATCAATTAATTGATATACATTCAAATTTTTGGTACAGAATTGGGTGCAGGTGTCAAAGTCAAAAGTTTGAATCTTCCAAGAGTCTGGAGTTGCAATTCAAAACTCATATTTTTGATGAAAGAATCTCAAATAGCTTTACGTTGAACGAGCATTCTCAATAGTCAAATAAAAAGGCTTGTATATGCCAGAGTTTGTGTTTTTATAGACTGGAGTCAAAATATAGACTGCAGTCATTTTCAAATTTTGATTAATAGGAGGTGAAAGTAGAGTCAATTTTCTCGTCCGACTAACTAACCTCTTAATCGTTTTAATTCCTCCAGCTTTCGTATTAATATTGATCTTGGTGACGGATACCTGTGGAGCAAAAGATAACAAGCAGAATGAAATACAAATCATTGTAAAATGGTAAACAAGGGTGATTACTGCAAAGTAGTTTTAATTACCATTAGATAATAATAAGGACCAGTGTTCCCTCTAAGGTGTGCGCGTGTGCGCGCGCACACAGCTTTCAGAGGCTGCGCACATGCATAGATTTACTGCGCACAGACGTATTTCGATGTAATGTAACAATGTGCTCGGTTGGCAGGTTGCGAAAGTTTGTTGTTGGCCCACTTATTACCCCATTAGAACGCCAAAATTTCTTCATTGGTTTTTGCACAAATATTAGTCATTTCCAAAAAAGTGCGCACACACCAAAATTTCTGCGCACACATACTACAAAAAATTAGAGGGAACATTGATAAGGACCATATAATTTTCACCACCCAAGCGTTAAATATTTCTGCTTTCTTGAAACCTGCAATGTGTGTTCCTAAATTTTTAATCTGAATACTTTTTCAATCATAAATTTTCCTTTAAACTCGAATAATCGAATTGAATAAATTCCTGTGCCAACATAAGCAAAATATTAAATGTTCCTTCCTCTCGGTACCCATGAGTCACGTATTGTAAACATTTTTACAAACCATATTAGTTACGAATTTTTATGTAATAATGAAACACCTATCTTTTTTGGTGAATCAATAAAATATGCGAAATTGAACCATATTTGGGTTTTCGCTTGACATCGGTTTTGGTAAATTATTTAAAAATGATTTGACCCTGAAAGTTAAATATTCACATGTGGATCAGTGTTCACTATTAGCACACTTTTTTGCGAAAAGTGGGAAGCACTTTCGCAACTTTTTTTATTGCGAAATAGCGCTTTTTTTGCGATTGCAAAATAGCACTTTTTTCCGATTTTAAAGGGCAAAAATTCAAAGTTGACAATTATTTTTGTGAGTGCAAATAAGTTGCGTACTAGTACTTTTGTAACCCAATTTTGCATTACATAATGATATTTGCTGGAATTCTAATCTATGTGGTACATACATTTGAGATAAAGCTTTTGCATTAACGGAAAAATTCTTGTTTATAATATGATTATTATACAAGCACACCGATTCCGCTTCTCCCACAAAAACAGTTGGCGCCCTCTTTGAAACCAGATGTCCGAATACAACGCAGTGCGTTTCTTCAAACGAGAGTGGTCATGTGACTGTCGATGACATCGATGAATTGCGACCAAAGTACTCGATTTTCTAGTGCAAATTTGACGGGATTTGGTCCTTCCGTAGTGAATTTATTTATTGGAGCCATTCAGAAAGTTCTGATACCCGATACGGCATTGTTTTTTGTAACGAATGTAAACTTAGGCCAATATTTTTTGAATTAAGAAGAAACTTTTAGCAGCATCTCACAGATTTGCGAAATCACCAAATAGCACGTGCCATTTTGCGATATTTAATATTATCTATTCATTCTCGATAAATCGAACTTAGACCAGAGTCAAAAATTAAATGCAACTATTTCTCACTGATATGCCAGGTTATGATATTATTGCCAAGAATATTTGTGAGTATATCACTGGACAGAAATATTTTGCACCCCTGCTGTTTGCAGAACAACAATTCGCTAAAGTTGATTGATCGAATACACGGGAAGCATTTATTTATCATCTCACTGGCCAACATGTGGCAGAATTGTACGATCATGTTGTCCTCTCTAAATAATAACTTTTTTATTGAATGTTTATATTTTACATCTGTGTATTAATTATATGTTCTTGTTGGGTTTTCATTACATTCATTCAACGTCGGTTTACAGACATCTAATGTATAACTCTCGCAACCAAATATTTTTTGTTTGTATGCAACCACCTGGATGGTGCACCAAAAAACGAATTTGATTTTATTGAAATTGGAACACACAAATACAGAATTTTACATTTCATACACAACTAACAGATGCCACATGCAGGCGCTCAGCCAGGATTTTTCCAACGGGGGTCTTACGGTAAAATTAAATACCGGTAAGTGCTTTAATCGTACAATTTACAACGACTTAAGACGTCTGTTAAATAAATTCCAGCAGAGTTTCGTGTAGCTCGCCTCCCTCTGTAGTCGTTTGGTGAATATTTGGTATGTGTATTTCAAGAATATACCTGCTTAATCTTTCTATTGCCATTCTATGAGTATTTACCTACACATGATTAGAGACGGGCAAAATCGGATTTTTTCTAATGGAGAAATCATTTTAAGAGAAAAGTAAAACTCGCGAGCATCAATGGTGTTACAATTGTTTATATGCACAAAAACATTGATTGAATGTGCATGAAATGTGTGAAACTATTACTTGTGGTAATTCAATGTTAATCTCTTCATTGCCATTCTATGAGTATTTACCTACATGTGATTAGAGACGGACAAAATCAGATTTTTTCTAATGGAATAATTTGAATATTTTTTTTTTAATAGAAACTTACTAAAGACTGAAAACTCTGTAACAAGGCGGAGTTTTAACTGTCTAATTTTGTCACAATCGCGGATTCTTTTTTGTCATCGTGACCGTTTCAGTGGCCGACATCTTAATTATTGTTGCACTATATTTTAAAGCACTTTTATCACAATAATTCTCACGCAGCGGCGGACATTGAATTTTTTTTATATTTCAAGCCGAACTATGAGTTCACATCGGCGAGAATATTAAAGACACTATTAAGTAGTGAATTCATAAACATTTTATTTTTATTTCAATCTCATCATCTGGTTCGATAACAGTTTGTAAATTACGGTCCGAGTTTTTAGCGAACAATAATATCATTACTGACCCTGTGATGAAAATATTTATAAAGCTAACAATAGCTGACTTTTTATGATTTTAATTTCTAGCGTTTGTGTGGTATTTTCGTATTAAATCATGAATAATAAATCAAACACTTTGCAAAATCGCCATTTCATGAATACTCAGTGTTGCTCTGAATCAAATATACTGATTAAATAAATCGGCAATGATAGCAATTCTACATGGTCAAAATAATATTCCCGCCTGAACTCTCTGGAAATTTCCATAGAATACATTATTCACCTGTCTTACTTTATCTGGTTTGACGTTTCTAAACGTAAAAACGGCTTTGAAGCGCTTGAATTGAACTGATATGCTAGGCGCAGAAAAAAAATCACCACAACTGAAAGATTTCTCATATTTATCGTTTCCGTCTGTTAGCGACAGTCGTAGGTGAATTCTTCCTCGTAACTCTTACTTCGAAATTAATGTTAATAAATTTGATCTTGCTTTTTAATGCGTCGTGATTTGAATTAATGAAAATGATTGTGTAGGGAGTTTGAAGAGAAGGTCTTAAATTAGCTTATAACAGTCCTTTTATATGACTATTATTGAATTATAAAGTAGGTCAACCTATGGCTCAAAATAGCGGGATGCCGACTTTCATAGCGAATTCGTGTGATCTTTCAAAAAATAAAATAGGATGAATAAACATGACATCAATCCATATCGGTGACCGGGGGATGTTATTTAGCACATGCTTTGTACAAATGACCACCTCTCTGACTATGGCCGGTTAAACTAATATCGATTGCTGTGTGTATTAATCGCTGTCTGTTGGATGGAAGGAGTAACGAAAATTTGCGAGGCATTGCTGTTCAGGGAAAGGAGTACCGTTCGCAACTGACACGGTTGGTTGATTGCACAAAGTTTTGTTCACGACATGTGAGCTTAGCAGGTGTCCTTTGTTACCGATGAATTCGCTTGTTTTAAACAAAGGTTTAAACCAGTGGTTCTTAAACTTTTTGAGCCGCGCCCCCCTTTGAAAATATTTACAAACTTCGCGCCCTCCCTATTTTTGCTTTGAAAAAATGCTTTTGTGATGGGCAGGTTGCTATTTAATAAGATGGCACTATAAGAGTGTTGGTCTCATATCGTCATTGCTCAGATTGTTTAGGCATAAAACGCTTCGGAGTACAACTTTGCCATTCACTGTCGTATGTATAAAGCCAAATAATGGTTGGTCATCATACATTCTCGTATTTCCCCTCAGTTTGTAATACCTGGTAAAGACAAACTAATTTTTAAGTAAAACTAAACACGCAATGAACCTATGCTTTAATGTATTTTCTGCTTAAACGTTTACATAAGAACTTAAAATTTCAATCAATTGTTTACTTCATCACTATTGAGCGATGCCAAAATTATTTACTGTGTTTTAAAAATAAGCAACAATTACAGACTTCTTGGCTTGCCTAACGTTTCAAACAAAATGGAGAAGTACAAATGAATTTATGTAAATTTAAAAGCAGTTCATTTTTTAATAGTTATTATGAATGTGGACGTTTCCTAGGCCCTTGAACACTGAAAAATAAAGTCGCTAAGGCATTCGCTATTGCATTTTGTTTAGATCTCGATTGTTTTCGTAAGCGTGGCCTGCTATGCCGTAAAAATCTTGATTTTGGTGTTTTTTCTCCCTAAATCAGAAATTTCCCTCGACATATTCTTGTGTCGCGAAGACGATTATAATTACTTTTTTATTTTCGAATAGAACCATGACACCTCTGAGGAAAACGAGTTAGTTTTTATTATATAATCATCAGCGACGAGATGCTAAAGATAGAATAAAGTAGTGAATCTGCAACCAAATATTTCTTTATTGTAAAAGCGAGATTATAAAATACTAAAAATAAAACGAAAACACCATGAGTTTTGTTTTGGGGTGGACCGCGACAGATTAAAAACACTTTCTTAGACATTGCAAATCTCATGAATTCCTTGTGCCTGCGGCACACCAGTAGTGTTCTAAAACTACCGACTTGAAATAAATTTTACTCCGTGGGATTTTATCGTAGACTAAGGAATTAATCGAGCATTGCGATAAGCGGAGTAAGAGTTGCAGGGACACCTCATAATGGTGACATTGGCAAGAATACAAATCAAAACAAAATGTAATCGGGCACTTTGCCACACATTTTTATGGTTGCGGATTACCGTGGTATTTTGGAGTAGTGGTGCTTTTATTTTATCGACGCAATCGCAGATTTAATTTATCACAATCAAATGAATAAAGCAACCATTTTAAATGAATATTTTATTCAACACGAAAACCATTACATATCCGTTGACAAAGTGGCTCTTATAAGGACTGGCGTAATGTCGAGGACAGACTCAGGATTCGTACCGCGGGGATTTCGAGTCGATGAATATGTATTTTAATTGTACTAAATTAAGTATACTTTCTGGGATATTATACCAGATTTTTCTAATGAAGTCAACGAATTCGCATCAGTGCAATATATATCAAAACGAAATATAATCGGGCAGTTGATCACACTTTGATATGTCCGCGGATTGGCGTGGTATTTTAGATCGGTAATGAGTTTATTTTGACATGAGTCGCCGCAACCGCAAGTTACCTTGAACACAAATGAATTAAAATAGAGAGACATTTTGAATTTTTTTAGTTATTACGAGACGGAAAAAATTATTATACCACGAAAAAGCCGGTATTTTTAATGAACGCGGAGACCGTTTCAGGAGCCGTTACATGTAAATTTCCGATTCCATCTTGTGACCTCTTGCGCCCCCCCTGTGAGCATCTCGCGCCCCCTAGGGGGGCGCGCCCCCAGTTTAAGAACCACTGGTTTAAACAAAACTCGGTTAACAGGAAGGCACCTTTTTAATTCGTAATATTAACCGAAGAAGCGCTTTTTTGAGTATCTACTCTGTTTGAAAAGAATTTGAGCAGAAACTAGGGCACCTAACTTGCTGAAATCGGCAAAAGCACTTTCGCACTTTTTTAGAGTTAGAGTTAACACTGATGTGGGTATTTTACGAACTTTAAATAAAAATTTCACCTGTAGTTTTGATACCTGTAGTTGTGGCGGTGTGGCTCATGTTGCTAAGCGTTAGGAATATGCTTGCCACCGCACCTCTGATAATCTGCATGGATTCGGAGGTTCGGATCCCATGAAGGGATAGTTATGTGTGAGAGGATTGCTAGACCTTTGCCGCCATAGGGTGGTACACGTAAGCGGTGTTCGGTTACGACTTCCTCCACCATCAAGTCCATGCTTCTGAAAAAACAAATAACTAACTTATCCCATACCCGACATGGAATGGTAACCGGACGGGAGACCGTGGGTTCCCATAAGGTTATTAAGCTACCTTATCGGCTTTCCTCTCCTCCGAGATAAAATGTCAATCCTATCATATGAGCTAACGGTCAAAAATATCCTTACTAATGTATAATCGATACTTTGTAGAACCTAAGAACATACCCAAGTATATCGTCTTCGCCAGGTTTGTTTTTATTTGAAGGTGGAATAACTGGAATAAAAAAAGAATGTTAATATATGCAAATTCAGGTTGTTAATGAAAGTTAATTTGTAAAGTTATCATTTGAAAGGCAATTTAATTTTTAGCCAAATAGAATATAAAATCTAAAATTGGTTACAATATTTCTAGCATACTAAGAACGTAGAGAAAGTAAGGAGACACTAATATATCATCAAATCCAATGCAGCGGCCATTCCAAAACCCAGGGTATAGGAAATTGTGTTGGCAAGCAGTAAAAAGAATTTTTTTTTTTTTTTCAAAAATAGTACCACCTTACAAATCGTTGGATATCAGTGGATGCTTGTCTGGGGCCCCTGTTCAGAGCAAAAAGAGTAAACACTAAATGAAAAAAATAATACACGATTTTGTAAGCATGGAGGGCTGATTTTACACGTGCTTGCACAATACTTGTGAGTTGTTCTATTAGCAAAGTATTTTGCCTTGCTATTGAAAATACTTACTTTTTGAATAAACCTGTTTATCTTTGAAAAAGCTGGAGGATGGTGTAAGAGAGAATCGAACTCTCTTCTTCACACAATAAGAGTCGGAAGATCTTCTAGAATCTTCCGACTCACTGTGGATGATGTCTACATCTGAATGAAATGCATAAATATTAGCATATTTAAAACAATCAATTGGTACAGAATTGGGTGCAGGTAATGTCAAAAGTTTGAATCTTCCAGAGTCTGGAGTTGCAATTCAAAACTCATATATTTTGTGAAAGAATTTCAAATAGCTTTATGTTGAAAATTCTCAATAGTTAAATAAAAAGGCTTGTATATGCCTTATATATTAGTTTTTGTGTTTTTACAGACTGGAGTCAAAATTTCCCTCAACCTGGAGTCATTTTCGAATTTCAGGGGGTGAAAGTAAAGTCATTTAACTGACTAACTAACCTCTTAACTCTTCCCTTTCCTCCAGCTTTCGTTTTAATATTGACCTTGGTGACATAGAGCTGTGAAGCAAAAGATAACAAATAGAATGAAATACAAAATAATGTAAAATGGTGAACAAGGGTGATTACTGCAAAGAAGTTTTAATTACCATTAGATAATAATAAGGACCATATTATATTTTTAACCACCCAAGCTATATATATTTCTGCTTTCTCAAAACCTGCAATGCGTGTTCCTAAATTTTTAATCTAAATACATTTTCAATCTTAAATTTTCTTTTAAACTCGAATAATCGAATTGAATAAATTCCTGTGCCAACATGAGTAGAATATTGAATGTTCCTTCCTCTCAGTACCCTTAGCGGCGTATTGTAAACATTTTTAAATACCATATCAGTTATTAGGAATGTTTATGTAATAATGAAACATCTATCTTTTTTGGTAAATCAATGAAAAAATATGCGATCTTGCACCATATATCGGTTTTGCTAAATTACTTGAAAATGATTATAAAGACCCTGAAAGTTAAATATTCACATGTGGATATTTTACGAACTTTAAGTAAAAATTTCACCTGTACTTTTGCATCCAGTAGTTTAGATTCCTAATCTTTTTCACGTTCTGGTTCTAAAAATCAAACACAAGGGAAATTTAATACAAGCCCACAACTACTAGGTTTACTATTAGGGAAACTTTCTTGAACAAAGTTTCAACAGTAAATACTAAATGTGCTTTTAATACTTTTTTTCATAAATAAATAAATGTTTATACAAACAAAGAAAACAAAAGAATACCTCATCAAAAAACATGAGAAATTTTTTTGGTCAAGCTGAGGGATTTCCAAATTGAATCCAAAAATTTAAACTATCGATTATAAATGATTACCGTAGTTATATTACAATTCTTGATTTTAAGAATACTTTATTTATTCAAAATATTTATATAAAAAATTTAATTTTAGAGCCATTTAATTTTTCAAAACCATAATAACAAAAAACTTGTTGAATCATGTATATTACTTGTTTCTGTCAACTGTCTATCGCTAAACATGGCAATTTTGAGTAAATGTGAATACACTCGGGTAGAGCTCGACCGATAACACTTTTTGACGTTGATACCGATATCGATATATCGGCCAGCTAGTGGCCGATAACCGATACTGCTATGCCAATATTGATATAAATCATATTTTGAGCCACAAAATGGGCTTTTATGATGTACCTCATGAGTGTAGTAGTTTCATTTTGATATCTATTATCATTGCAGTAAGACTTTTATTTAACTAACTCAACAAATGTTATTCTGTAACTTTTTCTGCTACTTCAATATCAGTCTAGCTATTTCCAGTAAAAGGATTGTTAATTTGACGATTTTAAATATATCTATGGGCATAGGGCATTAGAAAAATTATAAATTGATATATTTTAAAGTGAATCGTGATAATGATAAATTCCTTTGATATTGTGATAGCATATGTGCAGTTACATGTGAAGTTTTTAATAACTTTGTTTCCAGAGACTCTTAATACCTTATTTAGTCAATAATAATGAATTGAGTTTTTTTTTGTAATTCTCAGCAAAATGATAAACAACCATCAATTAGTGCGTTTACATGGCAACGATTATCGTGCCAAAACCGTATTTTGAGCGAATCGTGTTCATGTAAACACTTTGGTTCGGTGGCCGATCATGACTCAGCGTGTTTGCATCGTGATATTCCACGCTGCTGCGCGCTGACGGGTTTACTTCAGCGTTTTCTAGGTCGCTTGCTCTGCGCTTCTGTGGACCTAATGCAGTACCGTACCGGTAATGCTTGCAGCGCGACAGCGTTGCAATTGCAAGCGAGTTTGAGCTTTTTGAAGTAATCATCAGTAACGCTAGATAGAATTCTTTACTTGCGAAAAATATGTTAAACTTCTTTCTGAACCAACAACGGCCTGTCCTGCATAATGCAATACCGGTACGGTGCCGTAACTGGATACCGGTATAAAATATTAAGTAAAGTGGCGGAATTCTAGTGCCATAAATGGCTGAAACGTATGTAAGGGTTCAAGTTCCGTGGATTATGAAATTTAGCAAAAGATACAGTCAGACAGTAGGATGTTTTATATGTAAAATCAAGTAGCCTAAGCAGAACTGATACGAGTCAGGGAATAGTACGAGACAAGAATAGGGCTATGGGCAGCCAGGGCAGGGATGTGTGGAGCTTTTCAACCACAGCTAGCAAAGCGAACGATGTACGTGCCCTGCGTTCTAATTTGGAATGTAGGGCATGTTAGTCTATATATATATATATATATATATACTGATATATTCATAGGCTACATCAAAAATACAGTACCGGTATCTGACCGGTACTGTTCTGGAAGATACCGGTACTGTTCTTGATTTTGAAAATTTACCAACTGTAATTTATTGACATAATAAATTCCATTCATAGCAAACCGTTATTTGGTTTACTGATTTATATTTATCGCAGAAAAGTAGTAGTGCAGTTTATGTTCATGAGTGAGATGGAGTCTATGTCAAATCTGAAAGTTAAGTGGGAAGACAACGAGGTTAAAACAATGCTTGGCATTGTTCGAGAAATGAATCTGGTTGCTCTGCTTGACCAAGAGGAGTCTAGATCAGAAGTTTTGTACAAAGAAGTTGAGAAACAGTTGACAGCGAAGGGATACAAGAAAAGGTTTGGAAGCACAATCGTTATGTTATACAGAATACAGTTTCAGTTCTGATTCATATATTTTAGTAATTTCTGAAAAGTTATTTCTACTTAATTTTTAGACATTTGCAATTGAATTTTGTTGAAATAATATTAGATACGAACTATGTTAAATTCTTGACTAGCAGTATGTTTTCAATTGGCTGGTTACTAAATCTAGATGTTTTTTCAATTGTAGTTTCCAACAAATACACTATAAAGTGAAGGCCTTATGGTCTACTTTCAACAAGATAGTACGTCTGCATTCTGTTGGTGGGGCGGCTCACATAACATGTGATTATTATGATGAGCTTGATGAAATCTTCAACCACCACCCAGATGTTGATTATACAAATATGGGAGTGGATCCCTCAATCACAAACGCTGTATCACTAGGTAACAATTTTTCTTTGATGTTTTTGAGGCTATGAGCCAGAGGCTATGGTTCAGCATATGATTAAGCCGTCCTATGAGTAATATACTACTATGAGGGCTACTATGAGAATCCTATTCTGTTATCACCCTAATAATGTCATTTTGGCACACAAATTTATTATTATGGGAAATTGTCGACTGTCTTTTCAAAATTGTTTTGCTTATGCTTAGATGTTGAAGGAGATGCAGCTTCAACTACAGAGACATCTTTTGATACTTCATCCAATCATGAAGAGAATCCAGAATCTGGTTTGTGTCTATATAAATATTTGGTATACCGGTATATTATATGTCTCAACCAAAACATCATGCTACCTAATTGAGAGATGTACTGATGCATTGATATCGGCCAATATTTCGGTATCGGCTAAATAAAGAATGATATTTTGATATTGGAACAAAATCTTGCGCACGTAACTCAATGTATAAGTTTGGTATCTGTATCGGCATTTTTAGTTGGTATCGGCGACAAAAGTGGTATTCGTACATCCCTTTCAATTTGAGATAAGTCTTATTTAATTATATTTCTATAAAAGTTTAACTAGGAATTGGGCATTTTCTAGTTAAGTGAAAGTCTCTTATGCCACTGTGCAGGAAAAAGACCTTCAGTTGACTTTAAAATCCTTTTCGAGAAACAAAGGGAGTGGGAAGAAAAAATGATGCACGAGCAAATGGAAGCCCATGCGCAATTGATGAGAGAGACTGTGCAACAAATGGGGACGATACTCTTTGCATGTGTGTCTCAGCTTTCAAAAAAACGAGGTAAAAGCTTATGTTTCGCTTAGGCGTATATATAAGGAAATTCCCTTAAAAAAATTTACTCCCTCGACTGTAACCAACTGCTTTGTAAAAAATCCGGAAGTAATATGTTTAAAATACACCCCGCTCCTACTGCCACACAATCTGGAGATCTAATTGTAAACTTTGTTTTAAGGGTCTGAGGAGTAAATATGGATGATTGTGTGACAACAAGGTTACCCGATTGTAAAAAGCAGTTCGAGTTGAAGCATCAAAAATTCGTTTATCATCTGCATGAGAAACTGAAACGATTAGCTCTGTGGATCCAATGTTGTTGTTTTATTACATATATTGCATTGCACAGTAATAAAATGAAAACCATTGTGTTGTGGCATGGTCCGATCAGAGTGTGGGGTATAGGCGAGCTTTATAATATAAATAGATTTTCTCCACCAGAAAGCTTAATGAAGGGAAGGTATTGCACATCAACATAATGGAATGACTGCAGGGGGACAATTTGAATAAATTTCTGCAGATAGACTAGAACGGTTGTGCAAAGCCTCTGCACGCCCATTTTTGAACTCTTTAATATGGTTTATAATCTGTATATAAATGAGCATCATGGTAGAATAGATAAAGTCAGTGACCAAAGCAATAATCCCAGATTGCTTGGGAAATGTTGCTGTAGTGTAGTAAAGCGTTGAAAATCGCCCAGCATTTGTAGTTGATATGTACTGATATTTCGGAATATGTCAGATAAAATATATGAAGAACTAGCAGGATATTCGCGAAATTTGTATCTTTGCTCTGTTTCGTATGAATGAGAAACTTATAAACACGTACAAGATAGTTAACTTGTAAAATTAAAAACATTTTGCAAAAAATGAATTCATTTAGCAGTTAAACCGAATTTAAAAGCAGCCGTGGAAGATGAAACTGGCAACTGTTTTCAACTCCAAGTACGATGCCAACGATTTTAAACCGGATCGAAATTCAATGGTGTCCATGTAAACACGAGACATATTTTGGCGTTCGATTGTCCGAAATACGATGTGGAAACGTTTTTTGATAAAACGATTATCGTGACCATGTAAACGTAGTAAATGTAGATAAAACTGTTACCCCAGAAATTCAAAATTGAATTTGGGGAGGTCACAAATTCGGAACTGACATTGCTTTGAGCTACATGTACCATGTTTCTGTGATTACTAACACACCAGCTTCAAATCGATTTTATTTATAGGGCCACCGTTTAATGCTGATATTAAATTTGCCTTTTTCTCACTGTGTACTCTCTCAAAAACATCACTTTATAAAACGCATTGTTACTCCAAATAATAACTTTTCAGTTATGATCATGCATGAAAAGGCTAATCATGAGACACCGGAAATTAGGAGAGACACCTTTTTAACGCAAAATGAAAGCGAGAGAAATAATGGGAAACCAATTACGCAGGGGCGGGAGCCGTTGTAGCACGCAGCCCGGCACTTGCCGAGTATGGTCGATATGATATATTGGCAAACACGCAATATCGGCCCGATATATTGGTTGGCCGATATATCGGTCGAGCTCTACACTGGGGACATTCAGGTTTTTTGAAAGAGGAAGGTGTCAGGAATAGGGCTTGGCGCAATATTCTTATAACAGATAGCGAATATATGACATTTTACTATTCGAATGTCCGGTACCAGGCGACCTGCACCTTTTTGAATTTCAATGTAATTCGCGCATCTCTAATTCCCTCGTGAATTGCACAAGAATTTACCCACGGTGCTCAATAACAGACAAATTAAAAAAAAATTTGTATTTTTGCTATGATGTTTCTGCTTTCTCTCTGCACCTGATGCATCATTTCAATTCCCCATTTTGAAAAAGGCACACAAACACCGTTCTGCAAATTTTTTCAATTCTGGCTGGTGGCATGTTATTAGCCATTTCATGCATGACCGGAATATAAAATTCTTAACAAAAATTAATTAGTAAAATGATGTAAGCATATTAAGTCGTCAGAATCTGAGGTATATAAATGGCATAGATTTGAAACTGACAAGTAAAGTATTTTTAAAAGCTTGTATTACCGTAATTTCCGGCGAATGAGTCCGTTTGTGGGCCATCTTTTTATCCATTGTAATTGTATATCTAAAACAAAAATTTTAATTATAGATCACCTCAAACAATAATAACTTCAAGTAGATTGAATGAGACTTTATGCATAGACTCTCTACTTCAGCTATATCAGTGGCCAGGTAGGCAGGCAGTGGTTAAAGCGTCAGACTTATCAACATCATGTGTTAAAATATTAGTAAAAATACTTCAAAAACTCTAATAGCTTCGTACCAATCAGTGAGTGCTTGTGCAAAACCTTGTTTGAAGCAAAAGCCACAGAAAATGCTGTATAAAAAATTGTGAGGAAAATAAACCTAGAAAACAATGCTTCGATCAGAAAAATGTTCACACAGACCCAAATACATCAATTCTAGCTTCGGATTTAGGTTAAAAGCAAATCAACTCACTAATTTTTGATTGAACGATAATATAATTTTAACCAGAAAAGCATGTTTTATCTTTGTTCCAGCTGGAAATGTACAAATTCAAATTTGCAACGTTGAACAAATTTCAAAATTTTTAGATTGCAATTTGAAAGAACTCGAAACTTAGACTATGGGCCTCGCTCTATTAAACATTAACAATCACTGATCTCCAACTATTAAAATCTAGCTTCTGTTTCTTTTTTTAATTCAGCGCTTGTGTTGCAATTTACATATATAGAGTTCAAATCACCCTGGATCGAATGAATTAGGAAAGCAATGCTGAACCAGAAAGGTGGAAGTCTGTTCAAGAATAGTAGTTCCTTACATATTGGTAGATATCAAAGGATACTTGTACAAAGCCTTTTTCGGGAAGAAAGGAAAACAGAAATCTAAAAAAATGGTATGGTACAGTATTCTACTGTATTATATGAAACTCTGATCTGAACTCAACACAGTGATCTTTGCATAAACATGTGTAACTCTCAACTAAGAAAACATATCATACTTGATTTCAGCAAAGATGTTTCCTGTTGGAGCCGCTTTTTTTGCTGACTTCGTTGCACCTATCAAGTCAAAAAAATGTGATGAGCTTTTATGGGATTCTGATCTAAAATTCCCAAGTCTTAAGTCTACACACAGATTGTATTTTTGTATGATAGGGTAACTTAGAAAATTTAAATTTACAGTATTATAAAAAAATGATTCATATTATGTCTTTACTTTGGTGGACTATCAGTGTATGAGTAGAATTAATAAGTACTGGGTTTTGAAAATGGTCCATAATGTCTTTAACAGCTGATGCCATGTGAACACACGGGTATACCAGAAATATAAGACTTTAATGTTCGCCGACCCGCAAGAATTAATACCTCCAAAATGGAGAAAGTGTGGGATTAGAGATTACCAATTTTGGGGTGTCGCAATAAAATTGATCGCAGTGATAAAAACACATAGCCTCCATGGTGAATTTAACAAGTAAAAACCGCTCTGTTGCCGAAAAAACGCTCTTCATGTTTCTTTAAATTTCCGAAGTGATTATCGACCTCCGACATTCTAGACCTCGGTTGTGTATGAAAAAAAATGTTCGTGGATATTCGGTATTCATAAAAAATATTCGAACTATTTTATTCAAAAAAATATTCGATCGGCCCACCCCTAACTACTACCCATATATTTTTATCAAGCCCCCACATACCATAGGATTCATAATGACGTTCAGGTATTCCTGCAGGCCAAAATTTGAAAGTATACCAAGTGGGTGTTATCAACAACAAGGACAAAGGTCCTAACATGTCAGCCGTGCTTAAGATGTTCTCTATTTTAAAATCGGAATTTTATTAGGACCAAAGTCAAACTGGATAGGGGAGAGATACGTTAATGATTTAGACATAAAAGCAATACAACACGAGGTAATAAAGAGCCTTACTCACCACTAGGGCAATATTATTGCCCTTTACTAAATCTGTCTCTATTGTACCAAAAATACTTCCATTTCGATATTTGAATAACGTATATGCAGTTACATTTAAAATACTGCTGAGTGCTGATATTTTGCATAACTATGTTTCCAGAGTTATAAATGGAGTAGGCCTATGGAAATCACATGTCTCCCCAAAAACTGAGTGTTGAAAGCTGAAAATTGCAGACTCTCAATACCTTATTTACTCAATTCTAATAGATTCAGTTTTAATAGGGCAGTTGTAGCCTGTATGTACTATTTTAATCCTATTATCATTAGTCTTAATTCTTGAGATTTTTGTGTAATTTTGGTCAAAATATTAAATAACCATTAATATAAAAAAAAATGTTAACCAAAGATTTTCAAAATTGTAGCTAGTTTGATGATGACATTATTATTTGATGAATTTATTGTTACTGTACACAGCCATCAAAATGCAAGAGTGCAGTTATTTGTCTTGTTACTGGATGATAAATACTAAGTATGGCCATCATAAAATCCCCACAATGCGTGCTTCAGCTGTGAGTGAGCAGCACCATGTTGCTATGGATACTGACTTGACATGTTCTAATTAATTCTATTTATAAAACTATCGTTTTCTGTGGATACTAAATTGCCTTTTTCCCTTGTACTCTCTCAAAACAGATATTGCAAATAATAACTTCAGGTGCCGCTGCTTGCCTAATAAAAAACACTGTACAAAACAAAGGGTGGTCGTGAGGATATTTTCTCTTTATTTAAAGTTTTTCTTTTTATAATAGTAAAACATACCTGGTGATTGCACAATTTTTGCTTTTTCCATTATCTTTTGCCTAAAAAGAATACAAATTTGCAATGGAACTTGAAAATGGAAATGTATTCAAACATTCAAAGATTGTTCATCGATATTTCAGAATGGGTAACTGTTTCTTCTTGGGAAAATGCAGAGTGATTTGTCCTGACACACTCTTCTTATAGGGTCTTACTACTTACTGAATACAGCGCGAAACACCGCAAAGAGCGCAAAACAGCGCGAAACAGCGCAAAAGAGCGCGAAACAGCGCAAAATAGCGCGAAACAGAGGAAAACATCGCGAAACAGAAGGAAACCAGCGCAAAACAGAGGGAAACAGCGCAAAACAGGAGACGCAGTCATTACCACCTCCTGCCACAAAAGAACCACGGCGTCTCTCGCCATAGTTTTATGGCGCTATTTCCGGTATATTTACAAGGTTATGTACCGAATTATAGGTCATCATGCGAAATTTTATCTACCTTTTTGGTGCTCCAGAAGTATGTGCAGCAATATGTCGCACAACCTGAATCCGCTACACACACACACACACACACACACATTTTACTATTTTCAGGTTGTGCGCCATCTTGGTGCACATACTTCTGGAGGTCCCTTTTTACCTAACCCTAACCCTAAAGCCAACCATATCCACATGGAAAATGTTCTAAATTATGGTACCCAAAATGTGTCACCAGCAGGGGCAGACCTGCCATTACAGCATTACTGGCTACATACGTTGGTTTGTGTTTTTAATTTGCTGCCGTGGTAATCCAACTCAAAACAAGGTGCCCCGAACTCATTGCAAAAATTTTTTCTGCTTCACACTGTTTCCCTCTGTTTTGCGCTCTTTCGCGCTGTTTCCCCACTATTTTGCGCTGTTTCCCTCTGTTTTGCGCTGTTTCGCGCTATTTTGCGCTGTTTCGCGCTCTTTGCGGTGTTTCGCGCTGTATTCAGTGAGTAGTAAGACCGCTTCTTATATTACCTGGAAAAATTTGTCTCATCATTCCAAGGAAAGTAATCTATTTATCTAATCAATTTACCTTCTCACTCTACTTCTCTTCTCCTCCTCCCTCCTCGTTCTCCTCTCTTTAAACTGAAAAAGTTTAATATTTTAATAACATTCAAAAATACAGACATTTTTGCGATTCTGGGTGCAGATAATTTATTTTGTCTATTGCCTTGAAAATGAAAACGGTTAAACAACATCCCGGTGTCTAAAATGCATGAAAATATTATAATCAATCATTTTCAATATAGTCACTTCTTTATTTCGCACAGAACCCAAAAACCACTGAACTATGATTTTGAAATAGATTTTTGAAAATAAGGTTGTGAGTCAATGTTTTGAACAGAACTGAAAAGTCACAATATTACCATTTTTAAAATTTGTAATGTTATCTAATATAAATTTAATATTTATCAGTTTATCCAGTCAAAATTTGGTTATCTTGAAGTTCAGAAGTTAGCTCGGGTCAGAATCTTGGAATTTTAATTCTTTTTTTTGCTTAATCTGGGCAAGCCATCTGACAGCCATAGTCTGATAGTTGTTTTACTGAAAGCAGGAATTCAGATGAACTGGATGAAAACTTCTAATTTTGAATTTGAATATTAAAGATTTAGAAGATTAAAATATTCGGAACACATAACTGCATAAGGACTCCTGGGGCAAAACTATTTTCTTATAGCCTACAATCAAAAAATATATAATGAAAACAAATAGCTGAATAGTGTATTGTTTTTAAATTTAGCTTTAAAATAATTTATTTACATATACATGCTGTACATACCTCTTCAACAATTCTTACTCCTCCCATATTAAAATCACCTTAGTATAATAGCTGAATAATGTAATTATAGTACCGTAGTAGATAGACTATGACTGTATGATAAAAAAGTACATACAAAATTAACAATACAATAACTTTCACAGAACTTGTCAACTACACAAATTCAAACCGGCAGTGGTGAAAAACTTTCGAAAATATAAGAGAACCCAAGGATATTGGCACCATAGATTTAACGTTATACGTAATTACTGAATTATACGCTATACCGGTACCTAAATTTCAGTAATACAAATAAAATTGACAGTCCCGGTAACGAGCTAACGTTAAATGTCCATCGCCGTGGCGTTAATGCACACAGTACTGGTAACAGCTAACGTACCGGTAGCCCTATGTATGCGGTACGGTACACGTGGTACGTAGGCGATATAAACTTAAAAGTCACCTTCAGGGTAGACACGAACGGACACGGGTCAAAAGTCACTATATTACATTCATTGATTACATTATCAAAATTAATTTTATGATTTTGACCGTAAATGCGTTGACACTGATCGCAGGACTAAGCAAGCGGAGGTGGTACTTTTTCACAATAGTGAAACCGAGCTGCTAGTATTTATTACCATAATGGCTAATCAAGCTTCTTTTCCGTTTTTTTTTCTTTTTTAAGAGTAGTCTATATCAACATTGCATGCATTTCGAGCAATGTTGTAAATTTTTTGAGTATGAGTTTCTCCACCAATGTCCTGTTAACAGTTAACACCATGAACTTGATTTTCACAGCTGGGTTTCATTAAGAAGAACTGGACAATACTTCGGTGTTTGCTTGATGCTATTTTTAGGTCAAATTTCGCTATATTATACTGACAAATTACAGAACGCGCGGGCTTCCTATCCGTTTAAAATTTAGAAAGAAAAGTAATATTTGCTCAGAAACTCCATAGTTATAACTAGGATTGGATTATCCGGACAACCTTATGCAGATGCAGGATGGCGGTTTTAATGATAACTATATTTTGTTGTTGCTATTTTTGTGTTTGGGATTCCGGTAAATTGTCGGGAAAATGAGACAAATTGATGCGTGTTTTGATTTTATGTACTTTTATTAAATTATCCATAGTACATTCGCCAATAACCCTGACCTTCCCAGCGCAGGGGGAAATATGTTTTGAAAATAAATACAAATATATAGGATATAAACCTTAATTTAGAATGGAATTGAACGTGTAAAAGTATTACATATCGATACAAAAAAAGGGATTGAATTTGACGCCCATTATTTACATATAGTCGACTTAGTTTTCTACTTCTATTTTTAAAAACCGCTTCACCGAAAATGCACCGCATTTTGGAACCGGCCTCTGATGACGTAGTACTGAGAACTTCCAGGACTCGCCTTCATCGCGCATTTGTGAGTACTGTAGTGTTTTTATCTGTGTTTTGGAATTTAATCCTAGTCCCTTGTCGCCTAAGTTTCAAAAAGATTGAAATAATAATGTAATATAAGACAGAAATGCTAATGTATAGGAAGATCTAACTGTAAGGGGATCAAGCATTGGTGTTTCATGCCATGAACTTACCGGCACATGCAATAGCTTTTGAAGATTCAGATATTTTATTTCGTCGTGCATGAAATATTGTAACGACAGAAGTGTTTGCCAAGTTGAAAAGCAGATGACGTTAGAGACAAACATCGAGAAAAAGGAATAATTTGAATATATCATCCTGACGTGCTGAATGAATCCAGTTTAGAAACCATAATTTAAATATAGTGAGCTTCAACCAGGAAAAAGTGACTGATTCTGGAGTAAGTCTTTACCATTTTATTCCGTTTTTCGGCTGTTTGATGTAATATTCAGTCAAATTATGATGCTATCAAGTCACACTGTTATATAAACTAAAGTACACATGGTTGCAATTGCAACTTACCAAGAGAGGGATACCGATAGTTAACCAGGTAAAATGAGAATGCCAGTAATACAGTATAGTTTATTTTATTCATTTCACATTATTATGCAACAAGACACTCTTGCATGCTGAACGTTACTAATCTGTGTGGAGATATTAGCCTGGCCCCGTGTATGTCAGTTTCATCAATTAAATTTGTATACTTTATGTTTTCCAGTTCAAACTGCTATTAACAATACAGCCCAGCTTTCATCAAGGGTACACTTTGAGTTGATCATTTCTTGAGCGATGTCGAGTATAAACTAGAGAGAAGATGAGATTCCCAGTTCAATCCTGTGTAATTTCCACAATAAGTGAACTTTTGGGTCCATCCAGAACAAAGTTGGATCTCTGATTATCAATGGATATATTTGTACAGAGGCTTGTTTGGAAACAAAATTCCATGGAATGACAACGCACACCTATTTAAAGTCAATGCAATATTTATAACATGAGGCATCAATTAATAATGAAGATTTGTGAGAAAAGATTTATTGACATGAATGAGGCTACATAAACATGATGAAAACTTGTGATCGCTTGCTGAAATTATATAGAAAATGTAAAAAAAACAAGAACTCGATTTGATAAACTGCGGTCAGGTATTGTTGTTTCGGGCTGTGGGCGGGTGTTTGCATTGACTTCAACATAATTTTAAGGCTAAAAACGATCCTCAAATTAGAGGCTTTCGTCTAGTTCCATGGAGACATCAGAGCAGATTGGTTGCGAAAATTTGATCCAGACCCGTCACTGTGAATTTTGAAGTGACCACCAACTACACATCCCGCATTATTTGAAAGCACACATATATATGCTATTTCTAAAATAGTCTATATATACCGACAATATTACAAAAGGACTGGTTAAGGGATCAGAAAAAAAAGAATAAACCTACATAAATTATAAAATCTAGATGATTTGAGACAAAAAATAGCCTTGTATGCGTTATTTCACTGGGAAATACGTTTAGGCGAAAGGTCCGGCAGAAGGATTGCGTATATTCTTGACCTCGAATCGTCAAGTTTACTGTAATTTCTAATAATGCAATGATATTATTTGAAGATATTGTAATTTTGAACCACTGCATCGTTTACTAAATGTACCGCCCAACAGAACTAGCATAGCGGTTCAAAATAAGTGGGGAACGTTGGGACACTTTTTTTCTTTTGCATATTTTGAGCCGTTAATTCTGCATATTCACTTAAGTTGGGGGGACTAATGCATAGAGGGGTAAATGTAGTTTTTGTTCAGCGACTAAGAAATTTCCTTGCGACACACATCTTACTACCAAAATGCTTTGAAAAACGTCCGTCAAGTGTTCCACTGTACCCTACTTGTGGGGCACATTCGGACAGACCCCGGGGCACAATGGGTCAGTCTGCCAAAATTCAACGAAGTATGCCCTTAAAAATTAGCATAATCGTCTAAAGAACAGGGAGACTTCAAATTTGAAGATTTAAATATTTTTAAAATCAATGTTCAACTGAAATAGTTCAGATATTATGACAAAAATTTTGCAAATAAATTTGATTATTTCCTTCCTCTAGACTAAATGTGGAAATATTATTGATTCTCGAATATATTCAATATTGGGCCATGGGTAGAAGAAACCATAATATTACACAGAATAAACGCATCTCTATGCCTCTAAGCACTCATTGTATCAAACACTCTCGAATTGTGCCCTGTAGGGCATGTCCCACTGAACCCCGGTCCATTGTTCCCCATAGGAAACAAATATTTTCATACCATCTCACGGCGAAATTCGGAAGGCACATCTACTCGCCAACGTTATGAATATTTTAGAGTGGACTAAAGCTAAAAAATATCAGACGGTGGTTTGTCATGTTGGAAAGGCTAAAGTCGAAAAAAGGAAAAACTGGAACGGTAAAATTTTAGTTTTAACCCCCCAAAACCAGGCGCCGCTCTACCCGTCCGTTGTCCGTTCGCGGGGACGTTGTAACTCAACGAAGGGCGGATTGAAACATCGAACCGCGGACAGGATTGCGGATATAGTATCAGTGTGAAAGCTGATTTTCCGCTGTGCCCCACCTTCCCCAACACAGAACGCCACAATTGCCTTTGACCTAATGCAAAATTACGCCGACGAGTTCTCAATACTACGTCATCAACGGGACATATATACTAAGACCTAAGTTGCTTTCGATTTCGGCAGGGTTGACTTCTAAAAACTCGAATCTTGTCCACTTCATGCCACCAAAAATCCTAAAAAATTATATAAATGGAATCGAATTTCTACAAATTTAAGATGGATAAAGGACGTGTCAATGTCAGACACGGGCAACTCACAGAGAAAATCATATGCAAAAAATAACAAAATAAAAAATCGTTGCGAGGGGCTGGCAAACTCGGCGATGGATTCTAAACATAAAAAAATGCAACTGAATTATATTTACCGCTCGCATTTTTCTAGCAACCTGAGCGAAACAATTAAAATGGAAAAATTTGATAAAGTATAAGATTAAAATGGAAATACCCAAACTACCGTGTTTTCCCGAAAATAAGACCTAGCCTGAATTTTAAAAATGATTTTAATATAAGCCCTCTCCCCTAAAATAAGACCTAGTCAATAACACGAATATTTTTTTACCTAGCCGATAGCAAGAAACCTCTCCCACACGTTTTAAATGATCAATAATCTATGTTTTGGAGTTGTTTGGAATAAAAACTGTTAATTATAAGTAAATGGATATCGGTTTCCATATTTTGTTTACTTGAAAATCTCGTAATTCTATACTTTATAATTTTGTTTTTGATAAATAAAAATATAAAACATACCCCGAAAATAAGCCCTAGTGGTATTTTTCGGAAGAAAATTAAAATAAGACCCAGGCCTATTTTCGGGGAAACACGATAATAAGTCCCTGCGAAAAAGTGTTGCAAATTACTGCAAATTAAAAAGCAAATAAAGCGGTATGAACTATATGTATATGGCATCTATGTGGCGCAAGCTCATCGCCGAGCCTGAGTTTGTAGAGGCAAGTGGTGGAGAAGGAATAAAATACAACGAAACTAATTTTGTGCCACAGAATCCGTGGACTTAATTTATTGAGCGAAGGTATCAAACAACCTAGGGGAAACCACTAGTGGAAATTAAACCTGGCAAAATATGACAAATTGAATCACGAAACACACACGAAGCTCGCAAACACACCAATACATACCAAGAAGAAAATAATACCAGAGAATAATGCAGTGTCGGAAAAGAGGCTGCACCAAATCAAGCCGCTCGTTTATGATATTCATCACCGGACGCCAGTGATTCAGGTCATGGAGAAGAGTCTCGTTTGCATAACCACATTTACACAAGTCATCCGTGGTTTCACATATGCCGAAAACCACATGTGAACGGATCGCAGCGGCAGGAGACTTAATCAAGCTTTCAAAACCGACGAAATTTTGAACTGAGCGAGAGAGACAGAAGTGGAGAGAAAGTGGTTTGATGTTTGAGCAACTAAACCGGAAATGACAGAAAACAGTCTTTCCGTGGTCCCATAGCTCGCCCGACCGACTAAACCATCGGGTGTTGGACAAATGGTACAACACCTAAATTATCTTCTTGCCTCTCTCGATCAGGAGAGACTGCTGTCATTGATTATCGTGAACTAGGGCGACTCATAGGACGTAGTTGACCCCATACCACACGGACCTATGCGTCGCCCATCT